TCTGCACTTCCTACTAGCCTCTATGCAGTCTCCACTTTAGGTCCTTGGTTATGAGTGTGCTCTCCAGCTCGTCTTCAGTTGCAGTTTATTATTCAGGATGGTTTTTCTATATTTTAATTGTAATTCCAGTTTGGTCCCAAGAGAGTGTCAGTGTAGCTTCCACTTAGTCCACCGCCATCTTTAATCTCTCAAAAGAAAAAAAATTTTATTCATCATATTAAGATGGAAACAAATTTCTAAAACAGTTGAATAGACATATAGAATATGTGCATATTATTTTTAAAATATGGAAACAGTTGGTTGACCATCCTCCCATATACCAGAAGGGTTGCAGGTTCAATTCCCAGTCAGGGCACATACCTGGGTTGTGGGTTCAATCCTCTTTCAGGGTGTGTGCAGGAGGCACCTGATCAATGTTTCTCACATCGATGTCTCTCTCTTTCCCTCTCCCTTCCTTGATTTCTCTCTAAAATCAGTGAAGGTATCCTTGGATGAAGATATATATATATATGTATGTGTGTGTGTGTGTACATACACACACACACATATATGAAAACAAAGCATAGAAGAAATTTTAAAATGCTGAGAGTGGTTGCTGCTAGGGAGAATGATGCGCCAGGATATGGGGTTTGGGAAGGTGGTGACTGAGAACTTTTATTTTTGTTTTTGTTAACTTGAGTGCTATTTTGATGAGAATAAAAAATAACTTTAAAAAAAGACATAAAGAACAAATTGATGATTGCCAGAGGGGAAAGGAGTTGAGGTTTGCTCACAGACTGAAGGAATTAAGAAGCAACCACTNGCTGACTCGTAGGGACAGTCCTGGTAGAGTTTCTGGCTGCACACTCAAACTTCCACACCAAATTGTAGCTGTTTTTAGTCAGAATTTGACAGTGCTTACATTTCACACCACGGAGGGGTTCCCAAACTTTTTGCAGTACATAAAGACACCTCTTTCTTTGAAAGAGTGGCAGGATAGCCAGTAACTAAGAGCATTAGACCTTGGAGCCAGACCTTGGGTTCAGATCTCAGCTTTGCTACTTATTAGCTATAGGACTCAGACAAGCCTCTTAACTTGTCTGCTTCCCAGCTTCATTATCTGTCATGTAGAGATAATCACAGTACTTACCTCTGAGAGTGTTACAAAAATTAAATGAGTTCATTTTTATAAGTGCTTAGAACAGTGCCTAGCAGCTTAAATTTATAAAATTCATAGGAAGGTAGCTCTTATCCTTTTGAATCTATAGCTAGAGGAAATAATTTACACTTAAACTTATCATGAATTCAGTTATTATAATAACTACAAAAATATGTATTTATATTTCATTATTATATTATAAATAATTCATATTTTTTATCACACCTGGATCTACACAATTTTCAAAAGAATATATCTGTAGGATATGCCATTACTTATCAGTCTATAGACAATGTTCAATATGCATAAGAATTTGCAATAAATTTGATGAGGTCTGGAATGCACAACACACATATAGTGTCATACACTGACCACCAACATATGCAAAGTAGAACCTATAATTGGTCATTTTAAACTGATTAGAGCCCAGCCAGCATCGCTTAGCAGTTGAGCATCAACCTATGATCCAGGAGATCTCAGTTCAATTCCCAGTCAGAGCACATGCCGTGGTTGCCAAATCGATCCCTGGTAGGGGCATGCAGGAAGCAGCCAATCAATGACTCTCTCTTCATTGATGTTTCTATCTCTCTCTCCCNAGCACATGCCGTGGTTGCCAACTCGATCCCTGGTAGGGGCATGCAGGAAGCAGCCAATCAATGACTCTCTCATCACTGATGTTTCTCTCTCTCTCTCCCTCTCCCTTCCTCTCTCTGAAATCAATAAAGATATATTTAAAAAATAAATAAAATCTAGACACTTAAAAAAATAATAAATTAAAAATAAACTGATTAGAATCCTCCCAGAATTTTTTATGGTGAAGCTGCACTAATATGAGCCACCTACCAACACACACACACACACACACACACACACCAGAATCATGGCCCAAGATGAATCTGTGAGAGTTGAGTAAACAAACCCCACAGAGACAGCAGGAGTTTAGCCCCTTGGATACCTAACATAAGATATTGACTAGAGTTAATGGGAGGCATACTTAGAATGCCATTGCAATTAAGAAAGCTTAAATCTAATTTATTCTATTGCCTAAGATTGACTATATTGATAGAAGGTGTTAGGCACAGAAGTGGGAGATGGTTGAAAAACAAAAGGTGTCCATTAGTCTTTTGCACTGTCTAGAGGAAAAGACACCCTGACTTATTTATTTATTTATTTATTTATTTATTTATTTATTTATTTTAAATATATCTTTATTGATTTCAGAGAGAGAAAAGGAAAAGGAGAGAGAGAGACAGAAACATCAATGATGAGAGAGTCATTGATTGAGCCCACAACCCGGGCATGTGCCCTGACCAGGAATGGAACCCCGATCGCCTGGATCCCGGGTCGACGCTCAACTGCTGAGCCACGCCCGGCCGGGCGACACCCTGACTTATGAACACAAATATTCCAATCTCTTTCATACAAACATCCCTACACTATGGAGATGCAAATCCTGGTGATTGCATTAGATAATTTTTTATTTATCTTCATTTGTTCTGATCCAAGTTTATCAAGCAAAATTCTGGTGATTATTTGGCTTTCTGTGTAGGTTTCTCTATGAGTAAAATCATGTTCATCATAAATGAATAAATCAGCATTCTGAATTATACAGCAGTTACTATGAATTAACTTATTTAGCATGAGGCCCAAGGGAATTCTCAGCTCTGGGTGCTCAGAACAGACCAGAGGACAGGATGCTGAAATGAGGGGGCCATGGGTATTCCTACCTCATTCCCAGATGTTGTCTGTAGCTGACATCTCTCCATCTTATCTTTTATAACTGCAACTTGGTCTGATACAGAACTCCCATTCCCAATACTGTTATAACTCTGGGTTTCACTGGAAGGTAAAGTTCACTACTACATTGTTCTCCCCCAGAAAAGTGGGCTAAGGTATATTTTTGGCTTTGACACTCAGTTCTGATTTTGAATATGTGCTACAGCAATTATTTTAACTATTTAACTAATTTCATTACCTACCACTTATGTACTATATCGATTCATTCAGTTCAACAGTCATCTTGAACAATGAGCAACATATTTTGTTGGGAAATATATGATTTTAAAGATGGATTATGAAAGTGTGGAAGCAACTCAAGGGTCCACCAACGGATGGGTAAACAAAATGTCATAATGAAGTATTATCACCCTTAAAAAGGAAGGAGATTCTGACATATGCTACAATGTGGGTGAATGTGGGTGNAGATGGATGGGTAAACAAAATGTCATAATGAAGTATTATCACCCTTAAAAAGGAAGGAGATTCTGACATATGCTACAATGTGGGTGAATGTGGGTGAACCTTAAGGACATCATGCTAAGTGAAATAAGCCAGTCATGAAAGGACAAAGACTGTATGATTTCACTTACATGAGGTACTTAGAGTAGTCAAAAAGTAGACTAGACAGAAAGTACAGAGGTGGTTTCCAAGGGCTGCAGGAAGAGAGAAAGGAGAGTTGTTGCTTAGTGAGTACAGTTTCAGTTTTACAAGATGAAAAAAGTTCTGGAGATGGCTGGCAGTGATGGTAGCTCAATAACATGAATGTACTTAACACCACTAAATTTTACACTTAAACATGGTTAATGGAGTAGGCAGTTAGACAGGCATGAGCAAAGCAAGGACGATAGGTCAGGTACAAAAGGTCACCAGGGTGGAAAGCCCCAGGTACCTAGCAACAGGCAAAACTGGGCTGGGACGTAGCCCCCAGGGCGATCTTTCCTCCCCTAGCATATGGATGGTCATATGGTTTAGACTCCCTGAACTTTCATATCACTGGTCATGGGGCTGGCCCGCCTCTGGTCTTTCCTCCTCTGACAAGTGGGTTAGACTTCCCACCCCACAGAGGGGGAAAAAACAAGGGGGCGGGATAATAGCCCTTAAGCATTAAGGCCCTAGGACAATGAGGTTTTGGCCTGCATTAAATACATCTAGGCCTCAAGCATGCCATGGCTACTGACATCAGGACCAGCTGCATTGACTAATGACCCTGCCCTGGCACCAACCAATCAGTGGAGACCATGGGGCACAACTGGAAGGAAAGCTATTGAGATTCCCCCTTGACATTCCCCCTCAACCCCCAAACTCACACCTGAAAGCCTGTGTCTTTCCCCACCCCCTTCCTCCAAGGCTCTTTCTTTGTCTCCCCCTTTCCCCTAAGCTCCAGGGGCCCTTCGTTTGCCTCTGTAACTTGTTTCCTAAGCCCATTTCTCTATAGCTCACTTCTACCTCTGTGACTTTTTAAATAAACTTTCTCTTATGATTTGAGTCTTGGCTCTGAATTCTCTTAGCCAGAACTCAGGAACTGAGGCTGCTGAACCGAGGTTCAATCGCTGGTAACCACTGGTGCCATTTTCAGTGCCAACAGTTATCACGGTAAATTTTGTTACATGTATTTTACCACAATAAAGAAAAACTGAAGGAAAAAACAAGATGGATTATGGTTTCTGTCCTAAGGTACTTACAGCCTCATGAGAGACCAAACAGCAGGGTGGGAATAGTGTTAAGGGAATGCACACTAAAGGTTAATACTGAGGAGGCCCAGCCCGTTTCACGGAGAAGCTGACACAAGAGGTAGGCCATTACTACTTCCTTCAAACGCTTAAAATCCGTTGAGCAAAAGTCTTCCAGTCCACCCTGTAGAACAAAAGGTTCTACTGAACCTGACGGCCTTGGGCCCGCCTGTTCTCAGGGCTGAAACCGAGAAGCCCTCTCTTGCCCACCAGATGGCGCCGCGACCGCACTGCACCTTCAGGCCCACAGGGGGCGCTGTGGCAGGGCCTCTCTTCCCTCCTCTGTGACCCTCTCGCCTGCGGAGCCCGCCTCTCCGCCGGCGCGCGGCTGCGCAGAACCCTGCTGCGGCCCGTGGGAAGCATGGCGGCGCCTGCGGTGGGCGAGAAAGAGAAGGAGCGGCCGGGAGGCGGCTCGGGAGCGGCGTGCGGGAACAGCACGCGAGAGCGGCTGCTGTCTGCGCTGGAAGATCTGGAGGTCTTGTCCAGGTAGTACGGACGCCTGACGGTCTGGCCGGGGCTGGTCGGGAGGACTGTTTCCGGGCTTTGCGGGGAGGGAGACCCCGGCGCGCGGTCCGGGACCGTGCCCGAGTGTCGTGGGCGTGGCGGCCGCAGCCCTCCGGACTCCGAGGCGGCATTTCCCCCCCCACTTAGAGGACGTTTTAGAAATGACAGTAACGCTGGAATCCCTAGACTGTCTGAACTGTAGCAGACATTAGAGATCGCGGGTGTGAATCCCTTGACCATGGACACTATACAAACGCCGGGTGCCAAGCGCAGGAACTGTAGTGAGGGTGAGACTATATATCGAGGGTGAGACTATATGTCGACGTCTTACTAGAACTAGATAAGACTAGTGAGGGTGAGACTAGCCATCCCACTCGCTGTAAATGGGGAGACAGGCTTGTAAGCGTGACGCGCAACCTGGTTTTATCGGAGGCGTGCGCGGCGCGCTGCTGGAGCCCTGGGACTCGGCGCCGGTGCCGGTGCAGTCAGGGTGGGCTTCCTGAGAAAGGACTGCAGGCGAGAACAGTTTACCGGATTCACTAAGGGGCGGGGAGCTGGAACAGCAAGTACAGAGGCCTGGAAACGAGCACAGCCGACCTGGTGGAATCGCCAGTTTAGGATGGCTGGGGTGCCGCGCGTGTGGCAGAGGTATCTGATGAAATTGCACGTCATTTTCTTTATTCTGTCATCTTTCATGATAGTCTGTTAAGTTGGTGCCCCTCTTAATTTCATCACGTTCACTTGGATGTTAAAATTGTTTTTGTTTTTCTCCTAAAATGTTGCTCAGATTTGACCTCTTGTTCCTATCCGCACTATTTTACATCCCATCGTAAATCTTTCTCATTGCAGCCTCCCAACAGTTTTAGTTGCCTTCATGCATCTTCACTATGTCTGTCTGTTTTGCCCTAGAGCAGAGCTGTCTTTTTAAAAGGCATCTCGGGTCTCTTTTCTGCTAGAAAATACTTGCTAGGTTTCCATTGCCCAATGAGATAAAGTCCATATTCTTTAGCTTAGTGTTCAGTAGATAAAGCCATTCTCCATCTCCTTTTAATCCGTCCTATTCTCTTCTATGCCACATCCCTCCACCCTTCCATGCTCTTCACTCCAGCCTCCTGAGTGCTTCCCATTCTAAAGGTAGTCATACTTCTTCATCTCTAGTGTCATTCCCATTCCATCTCCAACTTGATAAGTCATTCATTCATCCAGCTCAAATGTCACCATTTCTGTAGCCAACATTCATTGACAGCTTTAGAATAAAATCTTATATATTGTATTACCCGGCCTACTAATAATCAGCATTTTTTGTGCTGTGATTTAGTCCTTGCCATAGCAAGCATTGCTTACCAGATTACAAAGTCAGCACAGTATTAAATTATATAAAAAAACACAGACACTGTAAGTTAAATAGCTCATGTGTTTAATTCACTGTTTAGACTGTATTAGACTCAAATACTGCTTGACCACAAGTAGGGCATGTGGAATCTTCAGGCATCCATCAGTCAGTACAGTGAACAAAAAAAACTCAGGCACAAGGCAGCTGTCTTAATGTGTTGCCTCTGTGTAAATGTTCACAGAGTAACACAAGTGCTGTTTCCTTCTGTCTTCCTTGGTAGTTCCTGGCCCAGACCTTGTCAGTTAATCCTGTCCATGAGTACCAGCATGATTTCTTAGTAAAAAGACCCTAGCAAGACAGAGTTTTCATAAGTTTTCAGTTAAATTATTTATATCTCTGCTCTGTGTGATATGACTATCTATGGGACAGCTAATTGAAGCTTCATTTAGTTTTGTAAGTCAGTAAACATCAAGTTAACATCCCATAAATGCTGACTAGCACACTGCTTTTCTAAATAGGACCAACTGTTATTTGAAAAACAGTGCATTCATCTTAAGGAGTGCTTTTAGAATCATTGCTCACCCAAATTGTCTCTGAGTACCTTGAAGTGCCTTGAATAGGTGGCCATGTAGTTGTGATACAAATTTGTGCTTTGTTAGATTCAGAACAACTAATAACTAATTGGAAAATACTTCTGTTGTTCCTGTATGAGCCAATTCCTGTATGACCCAGTTTTTCTACTTCTTGAATTCTGGATCTCCTGTTTGAAACTATTTCTTCTGTGAGAATAATTCTCACCTGAAAGCCAAGTCTAATACTTGATTGGCTTCTAAATCTTTGCTAAGGAATCTTGATGATGCTGTTGAGTATGAAATCAGTTCCTTATTATTTCTTCATTTTAACCAACCATATGGTATGGATAATAGTGATTAATTTTTCTGTAAATATGTTGACTTTGTGAAGTCATGGCTGCTGCCTTTTTTTCTAAGTGGGTGTTAGCCTTAGAATTTCAAATCTTTACCTTAGTATAGCCAGTGAGGACATTCAACTTCTCGCTCTTTTACTCTGGAACCCAGTAAATTCATTTCTTTTTTGAGCTTTACTTACTGTAATATAATTTATTGGTCTGTTTTGCTGAGTAACCCTAGAATATATTTCATATTCACTAATTTTAAGAATTGTGTTTCTTAGCCTGCCCATCCAGGGTAATGGTCTGAGAGAATTTCTTCTGACATTGGACAGCCTAGCAGTCAGTCTTGAGTTCTTGCCCCTGGATTGTTGTGCTACTGAGCTGTGTGTCTGAGGTGTGTTTTCCTAATGTTGTCAGTACCTGTAGGAGTGCTTATACTTGATATTCATGTATTCTCCACTTAAGATAGCATAAATAAGTAATTTATAAGTTATATTAAATTTGATATTAAATTGAAATTCTCTTGTATCTAGATTTGACCAATTTATCCCACTTTGTACTTAATTCTTTCCTTGATTACCAAGTATAGCATTTTTTGTGTGGTGAAATGTCTTTACTCACTGCAGAAGTGAATCATCGTTTAAATTTTCCTCAAGAACATCACTGTTCCTGAAACTTCCTCAGTGTTCTAAACTTGTCCATTAACAATTGAGGTGCCGAGTTCTCTTTTGCTTCCTCTAAAAGAAGCTGTATTCCTCTGTTGCTCTTTTTCCTGGAATGCCAAAAAGACTGATTTCTCATTCATTTGTAGTCTTCACTGAATCCATTGACAGGTGATAGGTTTCTTTCTTTCTGCAGCCTGTGGTAATAACCATTGTCTTAGAAGTTCATTTTTCTTTTTCTCTGATTTTCTCCTGACTTATCTGTCATGCTATTTTATTTGTTCATCTCTAAAGAAAGACAGGGTGACAGTAGGTAAGTGAAAATTTACCTCTTTTACAATCTTGGTGGTTGGTGATGGTAGTGGAAGACATGTCACTTTGTGGTTTGCCACCTAAGACTCATTGAAACTTCTCCACAGCATGAGGCTGCTCCAGTATGATTGGCTTTCAGAAATGTCCCCATATGTGCCCATTGTACATATACTAATTTTGTGACTGTGAAGTTTGTCCTTATCGTCTGCAATTTCCCATGCAGTCGAAAATCCACATGTAACTTTTGACTCCCCCAAAACTGTAGCCTACTGTTGACTGGAAGTCTTTCTGATAACATAAGCAGTCAGTTAACATATATTTTGTGTACGTATTATATACTGTATTCTTACAATAAAGTAAACCTCTAATAGAGAAAAAATGTTATTAAGGAAATCATAAGGAAGAGAAAATACATTTTCTTCCTAACCCTTAACTTTGGTTTTATTTTTGAATTTTCTTGGTTATTCTTGTCACTGTATTAGAATTTAAGTATTAATTTTCACTTTTAGAGCCCACACATCTAGAAAGTGCCTGGCAAATAATAGGCACTCAAGAAATATTTGACGAATGAGTGTATGAAGACTATGAAGACCTTCCATTCGCATATCCACCTTTTTCAGTAATTAGCTAATTAATTCATGCACAATGTTATGGGGAGGTTGAGTCTAATTGACACCATCCAGAAAAATAGTGTGAGACTAGCAGGAAGGAAGCTGGAAATAGAAAGGTAAAAATAGCCTGGCAGCCAGCAAGAAGAGACAAACACTGGGTCTCGTTAGTAGTGTCAGGTAGCAAATTGAGAAGCTGCCGCCTTCTGCATAATTTCTGAAAAATCTCATCTATCAACATTGGAACTAATACATAAGTATTACCTGGTATTCATCTTTTCCTGCTCTGTATACTAGTTTTCTTACAGGATTGGCATATCTAGTAAATGAGCTGTCTAGACAGATGGGATTTTATTACAGTATGTAAGAATCCCTTATATCTGGTACCTGTTTGGTTAATTTAAAAATTCAATTGAAGTAGAAAATTAGTAGAAAATGACTCACCCATTTCTTGTTTTATTTTACCTTAAAACACATAAAAGATTATGATTTTACTGATTGTTTCATATAAGACAAGAGACAAGGAACTTTTTCTGTAAAGAATGTAAATATTTTTGGAGGCCCTAAGTTCTCTGCTGCAACAAGTAACTGCCATTGTAGTGGGAAAGCAACCGTATACAACATGTAAATGAAGGGACATGGCTTTGTTCCAAGAAAGCAATATTTATCAAAATTGCAGATATGCTGGGCTGGATTTGGCCTGCAGACAGACCCCTAATGTAGTTTTACATGCGTGAACCACCCATAATGCATTGGCTGCAGTTTCTAGTTTGGTTTCTTTAAGGTGAAGTAAGAGCTTAGACTCTAATTAAGCAGTCTTAGGGCAGACTTTTGCTGGGGTTTTTTCTTCCCCCTGGTTCTTCACAATTTACCTTTGCAAACCTTTGTTGAGTCTTTCCAAGCATTTAACTTCAGTTTTTACAGAAACAACTTCTCTGTTCACACTCATATGTCATTGGTATTTATGTATTGGATATCAGTGTATATAATTATAGTAATAAGTAAAACTTTTGTAAATAAGTTTGATAACAAACACTACTGGTGAGAGTGCAGTGCAGCTGGTGAGAGATGAAATTCACAGTCATAGTGGACTGAAGGGCATAAGCCATGCATACTCAGTGCTGTGGGTACCAAGTCTGGTAGAGATAAGTTAAGAAAGCCGCTAGTGTATTTACTTTGCAAAGGGTTTTTGTTTTTGTTTTGTTTTTTTGTTAGTTTGTTTTTTTAATTTTTTTTCTCTCTCTGCTCTTTTTTTCCTTTTTCTTTTTTAGGGAACTCATAGAAATGCTGGCAATTTCAAGAAACCAAAAGTTGTTACAGGCTGGAGAAGAAAACCAGGTAGGTGGCTCCTTTTTTTTTAATTCAGAACCAAACCATAATTTCTGCAAGTTTCCTATTTATATGTACTTTGGGTGGGAACAGAAAGCTTGGATCTTTCTAAGTTACTAATTGAAACTTTTGAATTGATATTTGGATCATTTATATAAGGTAACAATGTGCTCAAGAAAATAGTTGTCTAAAGTTTAACAGTATTGTTTCTATTATAGTTCTAATTACACATTTATTCATTTTTATCTTTTGAGTTAACCAATAAAGCCTTGTTAAATGGAAATTAAAACAGTATCTGGAATCAAAAAGGTCCGTGCTCTCATAAACTAGCCCTTTATTTTAGGATTGGTTTCCCTAATACAACCTGAATGGAAATAAAAGAGCATACAACTGTTAATGAAGGTTATGTATTTTATGGATGTTGAGTTTACAGGTAGTTTTTATTTTCTTTATACTTTTCTGTGCTTCCTAATTTTCTACAGTGAACAGAATTTTTTTTCTGCTTCAAGACTTTTTAAAGAATGTACCTTTTATATTACTAATAAAAAAAACTTTTAAGAGAAAATAGGAGGGATTAACCTTTTTAAAGATGGAAGACAGAGCAAAAGATAGTGTCTGATAGACCTCTTCTCCCCACCCTGTACCCCATCATTCTCCTAATCTCATCTTATGATATGTTTTGAGGGCAGAGAAATCTGATGTACTCTAAATAGATGGGCCCCAAGGGGAAGCCAGATAAAGCTACAAGTTGGAAAAAACTGCTAACTTAAGGGATATTATGATTGGGTTTTTTGTTGTTGGTTTGTTTTGTTTTCAGAAAAAGAAAGAGCCTAGAGATAAAAGAATTACAGTCTCGGATGCTTTACTAATAAATAACATGTGGGTTTAATTAGGAATTTATACAAAATGAGTAAAAAGTGAAATGTGAGTTTTTACTTTATTTCCTAGGCACTTAGTAAATGCTAGCTATGAACCAGGCACCCAGCTTATTTAGAAGATCATAACTAAGACCTACATAATCAACACTAACCTATCTTATAATTTTTAAGAACTAGCAATTCTTGCCCTGGCCAGTGTGGCTTAATTGGTTGGGCGTCGTCTCGCACACCAAAAGGTTGCTGATTCAGTTGCAGGTCAGGGCACATGCCCTGAATGCAGGCTTGATCCCTAGTATGGGGTGCTTTCACATTGATGTTTCTCTCTTCTCCCTTCCTCTCTCTCTAAAAATCAATAAACTGTTCTTTAAAAAAAACAACTGTGAATTGTATCTTGTACTTAGTACTCTGAATTCCTGTATAATTTTCATTAAAACTGTTAAATATTGCCCTGGCCAGTTTGGCTCAGTGGTTAGAGAGTCAGCCCGTAGACTGAAGGGTCCCGGGTTCAATTCCGGCCAAGGGCACGTACCTCGGTTGCAGGCTCAATCCTCAGCCCCAGGTGGGGCATGTGCAGGAGGCAACCAATCAGTGTGTCTCCCTCACATTGATGTTTCACTCTCTCTCTTCTATCTCCGGAAAGCAATGGAAAAAATATCCTCAGGTGAGGATTAAAAAAAAAACACCTGTAAATATTAGAGGGATGTGCCCATTTGAAACTTCCTTTTGACCATTTTATTTGAATATTCATATTTTCATACAGGATTTCAGAGTTAGAAGGGAGCTTAATGGTCTTCACTTTGACCTCCTGTGAGATTGTCTTTCAGGGTAGATAAATGAGTTAAAGGTTAATGGATAGGTGCAACTAGAATTTAGGTTTTCTGACTTCAGTTGAATAATTTTCTCTACTCAATAAAATATAGAGAAAATTTTTACTACTCTCTGGTAGTATACAAAATAGGTCAAACTGTGTAAACTTATTGAAAGTTGTCATAGAACTAATGTGTACTACTTACTTTAGTTAATAATTTTTTAAATATAGCTTTTATGGAAATGGAAACCTAGCTTTCTCCGCCTGTGACTTGAGAAGAATGAGTATTATAGGCCTATTAAGTAGAATACACTTTCTACAGAAAACACTTTCTATTGTTACTCAATATAAATTTTCAACACAGGATGCGGCACAGCCTTTTGTCTATTGTATCAGAAGTCCTGTAAAAAGGAGAGGGACTTCATATCAAAAGGAACTTGAGTACCCATGTCTGTATTTTTTTAGTCTTTAACAAATTTTTAATAGTACTTTAAAAATTGATTCTGAATTTTGATAGCCATTTTCTTTCTGATATATTATGTCCTACTAGCACCGTAAAGTAAGGGTATTTAGATCAGATTTCATCTTCTGTAGTCAGTGGGGGGTGAATGATGACGATAATTACTTTTTATTGAGCTTCTTGATGTGTACTTAGCATACATTATACCATAAATCTTCATAACAACTCTATGTGATAAGGTACTGTGATTATACCCTTTTCCTAATGAGAAAGCAGACTCTGAGAGTTCAGGTAACTTTCCCTTGTCATACTGCTAATAAATGAAAAACTAGAGATTTGAACCCGAACTTTCTCTTTTCTGTTTCTTAACCTTCGTAGTTATTGCCAAAACTTATTTACTATTTTTTGAAATTACTCTTTTATAAACCATCTTTATCCTAAGCAGTACTTGTGCATGAAATCACAAGTTTTATGTGACAGTTATATTTTTCTAATATTAGCACAAATGTGTAATTATTAAAGGTTTTTTAAGTTCTTGGTGCCAAATAAAATCATCTCAAGTACCAAAATTTGAGGAAACCTCCACTGCATTATATTTTTAAGGATAAACTTTTAAATTTTTTCTTCCCTGGGAAATGAATAAATTTGTGTGTTTAGCATATTTCTACTTCTGAAGGCTACTTTTGTTTTGTATGAAAAAATAGCATATAATTACAAAAAGAAGAAAATAATATTAATCTGTTTTCCAAAATAATTATAAATAGGCTATTTTTATTTTTAATAATGATTAAAAATATTTGAAGGTGTTAAAATTTTTTAGCTCAGACAAGTAACAAATAGATTCTTTGTTTCATTGGAATGTAGCTTTTTAATATTCTGTTGCCAGCTTTAATCAACTATTATCTGACAGGTGCTGGAGTTGTTAATTCACAGAGATGGGGAATTTCAAGAACTAATGAAATTGGCACTTAATCAGGGAAAAATCCATCATGAAATGCAAGTTTTAGAAAAAGAGGTTGAGAAGAGAGACAGTGATATTCAACAACTACAAAAACAGCTAAAGGAAGCTGAACAAATACTGGTAAGTTGGCAGTCTGGTTTTTTAACAAGGATATTGTTTACTTAAAGTATTTTTGAAAAATAAGTCTATTATCAGTATTAATTTTTTTTAACCCTTACCCGAGGATATTTTTTCCACTGATTTTTTTTTTTTTTTTTAGAGAGAGGAAGAAGGGGACAGGGGAAGAGAGAGAAAGAGAAACATCGGAGAGAGTCACATTGACTGGTTGTCTCTGTATGCGCCCCAACCTGGGCTGGGGATCAAACCTGCAACCCCTTGGTCAGAGGGCTGACACTGTGACCACTGAGCCAAACCAGCCAGGGCAAGCATTTTTACATAATTATATCCTCATTTAGTTTTCTAACTTTCTGTTTCAAATAATGCTTTGATGAATATCCTCTCAGAAAAGCTATTTTCTTTTGCATTTCATAATTACATTCTTCAGATTAAGTTTTGAAAAATATAATTATTGAGTTAAAGACAACACTGAATTTTATGATATAGATAATAGCTACTGGCATTTATTAAGCACTTGTGCACCAGGCCCTGTGCTTTACACTTCACTTGCATTATCTCAACCTTCAGAGCAATTATATGATGTCAGTACCGTTTTTGCATTTTAAAGATGAAGAAACCAAGATTTTAAATGAATTACTACCTTGCCCAAGGAGGGTAAAAAATAGAGATGGAACTTAATCTCTCTGATGCCATACTCTTAACCACTGTATTATAGTTGATGATGCATGTACTAGGTTAACCTCATTTTACCCTTTAGTGTTCCTTTGTGGGAAGTGTGTGTTGGGGGAGGGTTCATATAGCAATCATTAAGTATGGAGGTAATGGTAATGTGTAAATGAATGAGTATCAGTGCCAGAATATATCTTGTAAATTTAAAAAAATATTTAGATATTTTATTATTGAACTAGGTGATAGGATGCTTTGGGGGTGATTCGTGGTCTAGATCTCTTCCAAATGATAGCAAACTTAAAGAAAAAATGTTGGTAAACCAATTTACACGTTTCTAACAAGTAATATGTGGAGACTAATTCATGAATATATTTGTTTCATTAAATGTAACTATGTTGTAAATGATATTCTGCAGTTTCAGAATATTAAAAATAAATTATGGAGATTTCCAAACTGGATGTTGTTCCTGTGGGATAAATAATATTGTGAAGTAAGCAAAAATCTGTGCTTGATATAGTTAAGAATAAACCATATTTCTTTTTAATGTTCTTTAGGCAACAGCTGTTTACCAAGCAAAAGAAAAACTGAAATCAATAGAAAAGGCAAGAAAAGGTTAGTACTATGGCAACACTGAATGACTTTCTGAAAAAAATCAACTTGTAGTCTCAAGAAACTGATGAGAGTATTATTAGTAATCATTTGCTGTTGTCAAAAGGTTCTAATAAATTTTCATTGTACAGTGACAGCTGTGTTTTAGCACTTTGCCCAAGTATCACATTCTCTTCTAGGTCATAAAAAGCAATATTGTAAGGCAAGTTACGGCTTTGTACCAGAATGTGCAATAAAGACAAAGGCTTTAAAAAATTTGAGGGAGAAGAGAAGAGAACTGTGAGCTGGAAGCAAGTGAGATTTGAATTGAGTCTTGAAAGATAGGACAATGAAAGGAAACATCCATTGGGCAAATATAGTGGGACTAAGAACATCATGAAGTCAGAACTAGTTATGGCTTTGAGATGTGTGCATGCAGAAACTCAGTATGCCTTCCTGTTGCCTCCTGCTTCTCTCTAAAAGGCTTCCATTTTGGATCTTTTAGTTTGCATACTAAAAGTCAGAATTGTAATGAAAACTCTGGTTACTTCATTTTAATAATCTACATTTAGTGATCTCAAACTTGTCTAACTTTCCTGTTTCAGATAACTGCTGTTAATATTTGATGTATGTCCTTACAGATTTTTTTAGATCTATAAATACATATATAACAAGAACAGTACAAATACATATGTATACATATAATCTAAAAAAACAGGTCATGCTATACATATTATTTAACAGCTTACCTTTTTTTACTTAATGAATATATTGTAAACATCTTTCTACTGAGGTCTACTTATAAGCTTAGAGTACATTGAGTACATTATGCTAACAGTTGAGTGATATAGTGTGAACTGTTGCTCTGATTTAATAGTTTGGATGTCACTGGAAAATGNATGCTAACAGTTGAGTGATGTAGTGTGAACTGTTGCTCTGATTTAATAGTTTGGATGTCACTGGAAAATGAAATACTCTGTTCTCTTATTTGTGTTCACTGTTGCTTTCAGAACAGTAATAGTATTTAATGGCAGTTAATAATTGAGGTTATTGAGCATTGTCATGCTAGTCTCCCGAATTTAATACTTTATGTCAGCTGATTTTTCAGAATGCCTTGCTTTTTAGTTTGGAAATATACATAATGGTTTAAGTTTACAGTATGCATTCAGGTTTTATTAGAGAAGGCAGGTAACTCAGATTATCCTATATTTTCAGATAATTTAAAATTTAAGTATCATATGTAACTATGATGTATGCATCTATAAACTTATGTGTTTACTTGACTAAAATGTTACACTCTCAACTCTCAGGTGCTATCTCCTCTGAAGAAATAATTAAATATGCACATAGGATTAGTGCAAGTAATGCTGTGTGTGCCCCACTGACCTGGGTTCCAGGTAAAAATACTTTTCTTTTTATAGATATATGTGAAAATTCTTACGTGACCGTGCACAAAATAGGAAGAAAGGTTTAAATATAGAATTATGTAACATCTGCTACATATTTTCACATCTTTAAGGTTTTATAATTAAGAATATAGGTCATTGGTTTTATCAGTTTGGTTGTCTACAAAGCTATTGCCACTAGGGACTATGTTTTATTTTAAAAAAATAAATAATATTTAAAAGCACAAGATGATCTATGATGATTCTAAAGCTATAGATTTATATACCGGTAAACTCAGGCTGGCCAGAAGCCAACTTTTTACAGCCATTAGGATTTCCACAAAGATTCCAGCCTGGGGAACAGACAGTTCCAACTTTTAGGTGATAAAGCACTGAGTGGCCCAACAGCAAACACACAGGACTGGGAAGAGCTGGAGTAAAAAAGACAGCAAAGGGAGTAATAATCTGCAACATATTAATGGACAGTGGATCAAACATTTATAAGATGGAGACACTAAGGTAGAGCAGCAGTCTTTTGGGAGGAGTGGGGGAGAGTTATCTCAGCTTGAGTAATTCCTGATAGTATTTTGGTATTTTGCCATACTAAAAAAAACGAAGGGTTAACTACATTGTTTGTGGTGAGTAACCTGGAGTTCATGAGAAATATTACCAACAAGTTGGTCCGAATCTGGTCAAGTTTTTAATCAACCCCAAACTGCTATTTCATATGCTTTTATGATTGGAAATAAAGATTACTGGACCCTGCCCTAGCTGGTTTGGCTCAGTGGTTAGAGCATCAACCTGCAGACTAAAGGGTCCCATGTTTGATTTCGGCCAAGGGCACATACCTCGGCGGTGGGCTTGATCTGGGCCCCGGTCAGGGTGCGTGTGGGAGGCAACCAGTTGATGTGTCTCTCTCACATTGATGTTTCTCTCCCTTCCACTCTTTCTGAAAAGCAATTATCCTCAGGTGAGGATTTAAAAAAAAAAAGATTACTGGCCCCTGATACTCCACTGGAAAACTAAAGAATTCATCTTTAAATGACAAGATGAAAGAGATTGGTTAGAAAAAGGTTTTAATTTAGACAGTTCTTCCAGTAAGGATTCAGTCCTTTCTATCAGGAAAAAAAAAGTGTGTCATGATCTGTTCCCCATCAGAGTATGTATCATTATTATTTTCATACTACATAATGCAGTTAAGTTAGAAGAATAAGATCATTTTAACTTTTCTAATTTGTCATTTGGGATGTTTGCTAAAATGATATACTTTTCTCATTTTTTTACATAGAGAATAGTATATTATGGTGAAGATTCAGAGAGGAAATAGATATGCATATATTTTTAAATATATTATCCTCTTAGTAACAATTGATAAGATGACCTTCATATTTCAAAATTGAAAGTGTATCTTGAGTTTTTCAAAATGAACCAATCGAATTAAAAGTCATCTGTTTGGGGTTTGGGGTTTTTTTGTTTTGTTTTTGTGTGTGTGTCTTTTTTAGGGGACCCAAGGAGACCGTACCCAACTGATTTAGAGATGAGAAGTGGATTATTGGGTCAAATGAACAATCCTTCCACTAATGGTGTAAATGGTCATTTACCTGGGGATGCACTTGCAGCAGGCAGATTACCAGGTAATATTAATTAAAAGAATGCTTTCAGATAGACAGACCAAAGTTTTGGCTGTTGGACAAGTTTGAGGTACTAGACGCAATTCATTTTAATAGCTAGGTTTTCTGACAATTTATTGTACTCTCTCCTTTAGTTTAAGAACTGTTCTAGATGGAGGTTATGAAATTAGAATAAACTGACTTTTCTCTCTCATTTGTTAATACGCCATTTTCCTCAGGCATTGGGCCTCTCTTTTATTATTTTTATTGTTCTAACATTGCTTTTGAAAATTGTGAAACATGCCCAGCCGGGCGTGGATCAGCGGTTGAGTGTCGACCTAGGATCCAGGTGATCAGGGTTTTATTCCCAGTCAGGGCACATGCCCAGGTTGCGGGCTCGATCAATGACTCTCTCATCATTGATGTTTCTATATCTCTCTCTCCCTCTCCTTTCCTCTCTCTGAAATCAATAAAGATATATTTTAAAAATAAATAAATTAAAAATAATAATAATAAAATTGTGAAACATACTGTATAAACAGAAGAAATACATATGTTCAGTTTCAAGATGATCAAGTGAATATACTCCCAAAAAAACCCCAAGTTAACAAAATGAATAACAAAGCTTTTTATAGGCTTTTAATAGCTTTATAAAATAGCATTTTTGTGAGACTTGGCTCAAGTTTTGCATATAGGTTTGTGCTATTCTTGTATGTTATGTTTTCCATATGTTATCTTTTGTAGAAGTGACTTGTTTTGATTTGGTAGAACATTTAAAAAGTTAAAAAAGGAAAGTACTGCCCTTTTCATCAATCACTTTTAATATTTTACCTATTTTATTGTTTTTCTCTGTATTATTTGCATTGTTAAAAATGTGCTTTGCTCTAGATAATGCTTTTTTTGCTTAACATCTCATTGGAAGGATGTCCCTGTGTTACTGAAAATGCTTTGTAAGCATCATTTTTGTTAATTATCTAAAGTACAAACTGGGAACGCACTGTGCATTAGTTTCCCTGGACATCTCCTCATTTTTTTCTTTGTGATTGTGTTACCGGAAAGAGGACCTGTCCCTTGGAGGGCCTGCCTAGGGCCAGCCCCAGAGCGTGTGGGTTTTTGACTTTGTGCAGGAAAAATTTCAGAACACGAGTCCAGGTGAATTTTAGAGGACATTTATTAAAGCTGGGGACAGTGAAACAAGAAAGGGCTGGAGAAATGAGCCTAGGCTGTTCTGCTTTGGCTCACTAAGTAAAGTCAGAGAAAAGAGGGCCTTGGGGATACGTTCAGGGGGTTTACCTGGGACGAACTGCTGCTGCCCATTGCTGCCCTGGTTGTAAGCCTCATGGGGTCCCTTAGAGTTCAAGAGATGCTTGCCTATGGGGGAAGAAAGGGGAGGGGAGGCATGAGCATGCTTCTGGGAAAGAGAGCCAGCGCTGGGTCCTTTGTCCTGAGGCCTTTATCTCTCTCTTATAGGCAGGAGGTCTCAGGGGAGGGTTTCAGCAGAATATTCATCCATTTTCTAGGTGTGCTCCTTCAGGTTCGTGGTCTTCACTGATTGGTCAGTGTCAGGGCAGGGGTTCATTAGACATTGCAGCTGGTCCTGGTGTCACCCACTTGATTTTGCTGCTTTTCTGGGTAGAGCTGAAATACAACTGAGGCCTAGATGTTATTTCTGGGGAGGTGACCTGTATCTGCTATAAATTGCTCTGTCAGTTTGTTCAGCTGTCTGTCTCAGTTTCCCTATTCCACTTGCCCTGGCTTAGTGGCCTGTTTCAATTGTACCATATCCTGTGCCAGTCAGGGTATATTCAGGAGGCAGAAACCACACCAGCAATGTAGACAGGGAAATTTTAAAGAATTATTAACTAGTATAGTAACAAAATACTACCTACTAGAGGAATAACAGATATGGGGAGCAGGTACTCTATCTAGGAGCAAAGCAGAATACCCAAGGTTCCTCACCACCTCCATCCCAAGGCCTGTGTTTATATCATGGTGCCCTTGGTAGAGCAGGTATAGCTGTGGCCCACCGGATGGCAGATGACAGAGAAGTTAGCTGAAGTGACCCAGGCCAGAGCTGGCAAACAGGAAATTACCCACTAGAATTCCATCGAGACTCCCTGGAAAGCCACCCTTTGGGGTAATGGTGAAACTTACTGGGAAGCCATCCTTTGGGATGCCACTGAAACTGGCTAGGAGGTGGGCACCATGTGTCCTGTGCACCAACCAGGCACCACAGGAGTAAGAAGGAAAGTTTCCCATCCAGGCAGAGAAGCCACTTCCTCTGGTAGAGTCCCTCCAGTGCCCTCTACTGACAAAGCTTAACAGTGTGGCTGCTGGCAAGAGAGAAGTGTTTTTAGGATCCAGGGAGAAGAGTAGATTTGAAGCTTTAAAGGCAGTTTAAACTTGTAATACGTACTATAGTATGCATTAGCTATTTGTAATATACATAAAGAATATAGAGAGAGTAATGTGTAATCTATACAGGGTCAGGCAAAAGTAGGCTTACAGATGTTTGTATGGAAAATAATACAAAAATAATAATAAAAGAATAAACTCTTGTGTTTTGTGTACTCACACTGTAAACCTCCTTTTTCCACACCCTGTATGTGTACATAAACGATACATAGGCACAGGAAATAATGTGATTTGTAATTAAGAATGTTTTGCAAAAGAAAAATTACTGACTATATGAATAGTTACTTATGATAAAGTATATTTTTTTAAAAATAAAACACAGGTTCTAGTTATTAAAACATTACTCTTCCTTGATAAATTTGATATTCATTAATTTGGCCAAATGTGTATTTTAATTTCTAGCCTAAAAAAATACTTATTTTCTAGAGTCATCTAGAAGTAAATAATTCTTATATGTGTTTCTTTCTTTTCTCCAGATGTCCTTGCTCCACAGTATCCCTGGCAGTCAAATGATATGGCAGTGAATATGTTACCACCAAATCACAGTAATGACTTTTTGTTGGAACCTCCGGGGCATAATAAAGAAAATGAAGATGATGTAGAGGTTATGTCAACAGACTCCTCAAGCAGTAGTAGTGACTCTGATTAAAAAAGTATCCAGAATTGAATACTGTAGAATTCTGTTTCTTAAACAATAGCAAAACTGTAAAAATAGGTAATATTGGCCATAGTGGAATTGCATAGCCCATTAAAAATCACAGTGGAGCCCAGCCAGCGTGGCTCAGTGGTGGAGCATCAACCTACAATCCAGGAGATCTGTTCGATTCCCGGTCAGGGCACATGGCCAGGTTGCAGGCTCAATCCCCAGCAGGGGGCGTGCAGGAAGCAGCCGAATAATGACTCTCATCATTGATGTTTCTAACTCTCCCTCTCCCTCTCTCTGAAAATAATAAAAATATTTTTTAAAAAATAAAATAAAAATCACAGTGGACTTTATTTTTAAAGCCAAAAACCATGATTTTAGTTCTAAACCATTTGGTGAATATTTATAGAGAATAATCAAAATTAACTATTAGGAAAAAAGATTATTCAGTTCAGTGCTGTCTTACCCTGTTCTAGTCCAGCTATGTTGGACTTGTACATAGTAGTTCTAGAAATAAAATTTGAGGAAAATCACCCATGTACATATCACTAATAGGCTTCCTGGAATTATTTAGAAAAGATTTTTTTTTTTAAGGCAGCAGATCACAGATCACTGAATGTGAATCATATCAAAATATCAAAAACCCTTACTGAAAGTGAAGGTTGTTAGTTTCTGTCACAGGAATAGGAAAAATTTCTCAATTTGTACTATTTTTAATTATTGCAATTTTTGTAAATAAACTAACTTTTTTATACTTTTTATGCTTGTGTTTTAATTTAAACTACCTTCAGTGTAGTTTAGAAAATTATTTCTCTAAATCCAGTTGCATTTTATACAGTCTTAAGTAGAATTCTGTAGTGTGAATGAACATGATGTAATAAATACAATTGAACTAGTAATCACAACTGGTAGGTTTCTCAAAGGCCCATACTGCCATTATTTTTGGAAGAAAAAATGAAGTGGTTTTGTTAAAAAAATAATTTTTTAAATCTTACCATAATAATGTATGATCTTAAAAATAAAAAAGATTTTAGAATGTAAAACACTCACTACCTGCCTTCACCTTCCCCTTATTGCAGTTCCCAGAAAGAATTACTTTTAACCACTTTTAACTTCTAGTGGTTAATCCCATGTTTAAATAATATGCTTATCAATTATACCTTGATTTATCAATTTTAAACAATGTACATTTCACATTTTTTTTTCTGATTGCAAAAGTAATAAAACATTCGTTGTGGAACACTTAGCAAATCACAAAGGAAAATATAAAATTGTTAGCATTCTACCCAGAGGTTACATCAATATTTTGGTGTAGATTTTTGTCTTTTGAAGAAATCTACATATATACATTCTTTAAATGAGAATAAAAGGTGTATTTCCTGAGCTGCTACTATATTTTTGGTTAGTAATTTCAATATCCTCCCAATGAAGTGAGAATTAATTTTTTTTTTTTTTTTTTTCTTTTCCATTTCCATGTTTCTGTGAAACGTGATCCCTGTAGAAAAATACTCGTCTTCCAACTTGCAATTTCCCAGGAACAAAATTAAGCTTTTTAGATTGGTATCTTGAATAACATGGCATGGAATGCCATGAATTCTAACAAACTATAAATATTTTATCTCACAGTTCAATTTACCTTTTCATTAATGTGAATTAGCTTTAATGACATGCCAAAATATGTGAATTACAGTCATTCCATAGTGTCCATTACATGGTCAATAAAATAAAATATTAGCTGGTTAATTTAAATGATATGACAGCCAAGGAAAAGAGAAGAGGGTGAAGAGAGCTGAAGCAAATACAGGATAATCTTGGCGCTTGCTGAATCTGGATATATGGAAGTTTATTGTACTGTTTTCTACTTCTGGTATGTTTGAAAAAATTTCCATATTAAAAAAAAATTGTTTTCCACATCAGAAGTACTCCTCATACCGTTTTAAAATGCTAAGGAATGGAAAAGTTGAACGTGGTTCTAAAAGATGGCTTTGGTGCTGCCAAAGCTCCAATTTAAGAATGCCAGGCATGGAAAGAGTGTGTGGGAACCCATGACTGCAAACATTCATTGATGCTTTTGCAGTTCTGTAAGCTGTGAGATTTAGGCCACCTGTTAGTTTAGTTTGCTAGGGCTGCCTAAACAACAGACTAGTGTCCTGAACAAACTTATTTTCACACACTTCCAGAGGCTAGAAGTCCCAAGGTGTGGGAGGTTTAGCAAGTCTCTCCTTGGCTTGCAAATGGTTGCCTTCTTGCTGTGTCTTCACGTGGCCTATTCTCTGCACCCCACAGCCCTGGTGTCTCTCTTGTGTGTCCAAATTACCTCTTTCTTAAGGACAACAGTCAGATTGGCTTAGGGCCCACCCTAATGGTGTCATTTTAACTTAGTCATCCCTTTAAAAGTCATCTCCAAATACAGTCACCTTCTGAGATACTGGGGGGTAGGGTTTCAACACATGAATTTGGAGGAGACCTGATTCAGCCCATAACATCAGCTAAGAGCCTGTGTAAACTCTATTAACTAAATGTTTAATGAATGGTTATCCTAGTGAGATACTTGCTTTTTTATTTTAATTTGATATATATGTTTTCAATCAGGTCAGTCATTAAGAAGGCATATTTGCTATACCAGATGTAGTCTAGTGCCCCTATGGCCATCTCCCCTTCCCCCCTGCTCCCCTCTTTTCCTTCTTCATATGTTTGAGCACCTTCTAGGTGCTGAGGATACACCTAACCTTCCTGGACTTTGTGAGGCAGAGGGGCACGGGGAGAGACAGATAATAAGCACATAAAGAAATGAGTAAAACAAATCCAGATATCGCTAAGTATAATAAATAAAAGGGGCTGAGTACTAAATCCAACACATTGCAAAACCCTTGCTTTCTGAAGGAAGATAAAAAATGTCTCCCAAGAGTTGTGTAAGGGGTCAGAAGGGTATTCAAAGACAAATACCTTCTGTGGGAGACAGGAGAGGGTGGAGATGGGCAAAGCAGTGTGGGGAAGGGGGACTCCTGCAATAATGTCAACATTAAAAAAATTTTTAATTAAAAAAAATGTCAAAATAAAAAATAGAAAAAGATACACATATGAGGGTTAATTTTAAAATGATTAAAAGACAAAAATGTTATAATCAAACACATAATCTCTCATAAAGTATAATCCAAAATTTGCATACATTTTTCAAACAAAAATGTCATGCTTTTGGATTGCTGCTTTTCCCATTGAAAAATTCATTATTTGATCCTCAAATACTGAAAGGAAAAGTCTGAGGCTCATGTGGTGCATATATCACAATAAGCAAGTCGCTATTGTGTGCAGCAAGTCTGAGAAGAGAATGATCTTTGTATCCCAGAAATAAATCCACTTGATCACGGTGTATGATCTTTTAAATGTATGCTGAATTCAGTTTGCTAATATTTTGTTAAGGAGTTTTGCATTTCTGTGGTGTCAGTTCGCACTTTTCTTCTTTCATTTCTGATTTTATTTGGGTCCTCTTCTTTTTTTCTTTATGGGTTTGGTTAAACATTTATCAATCTTGTTTATCTTTTCAAAGAACGAGCTCTTGGTTTCATTGATCTCTTGTATTATTTTTTAGATGACATTTTCTTTATTTCTGCTTTGATCTTTATTATTTCCATCCTACTCATTTTAGGTTTTGTTTATTCTGCTTCTAGTTTCTTTAGGTGTTACATTACATTGTTTAATTCCTGTTTTTCTTGTTTCTTGAGGTAGGCCTGTATTGCTATGAATTTCCCTCTTAGGACTGCTTTCTCTGTGTCCCATAGATTTTAGATTGTGTTTTTATTTTCATTTGTATCAAGGTAGCTTTTGATTCTTCTTTGTTAACCCATTTATTGTTTAGTAACATGTTATTTAGCCTTTATGTGTTTATGTTTTTTTCATGGGTTTTTTCTTGTAATTAATTCCTAGTTTCATACCATTGTGATCAGAGAAGATGCTTGATATGATTTAAATCTTCTTAAATGTATTTAGACTTGTTTTGTGGCCTAACATGTAGTCTATACTGAAAAATGTTCCAAATGTGCTTGAAAAGAATGTATATTCTGCTGCTTTGATGTGAAATATTCTAAAAATATCAATTAAATCCATCTGATCTAATGTGTCACTACAGGCCACTCTTTCCTTGTTGATTTTCTGTCTGGAACACCTAGCCATTGATGTCAATGGAGTGTTAAAGTTCCGTACTATACTGTATTACTGTCAATCTCTTTATGTCCATCAATATTTGCTTTATATTTTAGGTACTTCTAATTGGGTGCATAAATGTTTACAAGTTAGATCTTCTTGTTTTATTGATCCATTTATCATTATGTAATTAATGTCTTTCTTTGTTTCTTATTATACCCCCTTTTTTTTTTTTTAATCCTCACCTGAGGATATTTTTCCATTGCTTTTTTAGAGAGTGGAAGGGGGAGAGGGAGAAGGGGAGAGAGAGAGAGAGAGAGAGAAGCATCGATGTGAGAAAGACACATTGGTTGCCTCCCACATATACCCCAACTGTGGCCAAGGATGGAGCCTCCAATCAAGGTATGTGCCTTGGGAATCAAACCTGGGACCCTTCAGACCACAGGCCAGCTCTCTAATCACTGAGCCAAACCTGCTAGGGCTAACCGCCTTTTTAAAGCTTATTTTGTCCGATATATGTATTGCTACCCCAGCTTTTTTTCCTTTTTTCCATGTGCATGACATATCTTTTTCCACCCCTTTACTTTTAGTCTGTGTCTTTTGATCTGAAATGGGTCTCTTGTAGACAAAATATATATGGGTCTTATTTTTTAAAAACATTCAGCTACTCTATCTCTTTTGATTGGAGCATTTAATCCATTTACATTTAAATTTATTATTGATAGTTATATAGTTATTGCCATTTTATTATTCATATTTGTGCTTTTTTAAAAAATTTATTCTTTTTAAAGAAGTGCCTTTAACATTTTTTGTTATACTGGTTCGGTGGTCATGAACTCCTTTAGCTTTTTCTTGTCTGGGAAGCGCTTTATCTTTTCTCCAATTTTAAATGATAGCCTTGCTGGGTAGTGTAGTCTTGGTTTAGGTAG